TTTACCCCCAGCTGCTCCCCCCTGCCGTTATCCCCGCTCCACGTCTGGGCGCCAATTAAAATGTCTTGGTTTCGGCTGTCGCCGGCAACAAAAGCGCCACGCAGCTGCCCATCTCCCAGCCACGGTGCAGAGGAGAATGGAAATAAACAGGCGGAAAATGGTGGGTCGGGATAAGGGCAGTTTAATAGAACAGCAAACAAAGGGAACAGGAACAACAACAATACAGAAAAGGAGAAAACACTACAAAACAGACCGCACAACAGAGCCACTCTCCTGAACCGCCACCGCTGCACGCTCCCGAGCCGCGAGAGAGTTCCCGCCCCCCAGCTCCCCCCCCACCCGGAACCCAGCGTGAAGGCACATGGTATGGAATACCCGGCTCTGTTTGGCCAGGTGGGGTCAGCCCCCATCCCCCGGCTGTGCCCCTTCCTGGAGTCCAGTGAAAATTAACCCTGTCCTGGCCAAACCCAGGACACGAGGCCATCACCTTTTCAGTAGCAGTAGGACGGCATTGGCAGTGCTGGCATCAAGCCCTGTAGTTGGCTCATCCAAAAACAAGATGGCAGGATCCATGATGATCTCCATCCCAATACTGGTCCTTTTCCGCTCTCCTCCAGACACCCCGCGAGTGAACGGGGTGCCAACCTGCCACAAAACAAGAAACTTGTCTCATTTGGCCTGACAGAAGTGCTTGATTGAACAGCATTCTACCAACATGGCAGCATTTGGGAAGAGCTGTAAGAAATTTTGACCCTACTCTCAGGTACTGGTACCTCACACATACGCTGTTTCTTAATGTTAGTATTACTTGAGGTGTTCTCTTTTTCTCCAACCCCAGACAACCTTTCCCCTTCCTCTTCCCCACAATGTGACAGCATGTGGCAGTATCAGCACAGAGTCTGTACAGACCGCCATACAGAAATGTTATTAGTTATTGTATTACTGAAATAGTGTGCTTAATTTTACTTTTTTTTATATCTGCCATGCTGAGTCATTTGGTTGATTAAATAAATCACTTCATATTTGTTCATGATTTAAGGTCCATATTTACATGCCTTACCTTGGAATCTGCCACTTTGCTCAAACCCAGTTCCTTCATGATCTGATTCACTAGCTCATTTTTTTCCTGTTCCTTCACTGACTTTGGCAAACGGAGTGCTGCTGAGAATGTCAAATTTTCTCTTACAGTCAGGGTTCCTACTACCACATCATCCTTCATTAAAAAAAAACAAAAGTAGATACTTGTTGGTCACTTAGCAATTTCTATTTTTTCCTCTGAGAACTGCATCTACCTGTGTTTTATGTTGTCTTTGCATGCAGAGGGACAGTAGCAACTGCCAGAACATGCAGTAAGGTGCATCTTCAATGCCTGTGTCATAGCAGAGTTGATTTCATGCATGTGATTATATTTGCCTTTATTCATAAAGCAACGCAATATAGGAACATCTTCCATCATGCATGATATCAAAATGCATAAATAGCAACACATTCAAAACTGTTCCTCATGCATTCTTACCTTATTCAGTGTTTTGGAGGCGTTGAGAAAGATACTGAAGGGCTAAAGGGACCTGAGGAGCTGCTACTGCTCAGGTCACTATCACTGTGCATTTGTTAATGCAGCCTCAGCCCACCACAGGTAAGAGCAGGGAGAAGAAAGAGGTGAAGGTGGGATAGAGTGAAGGTTTTCTGAGCTTGTTTCAGCAAAGCAGGAAGGAGGGTAGGCTTTTTAGATACTGGCTGCTTGTCTCTTGCAAAACGAATCTGTCAGATGTAGGAAGTTCAGAGATGTGTTTTGAGAGACTACCTTTGTAACAAGCTGGCTGCAATTTTATAAGGGGTTTTCATAGATCACCTCTTCAGGTCTTCATAAACTGCAAGCATGCTGCTGAGTACAGGTAGCAAAAAGGGGGAAGAAATTAAGAGAGAGATGTGGTTTTCCTTCTTTTGGCCCTCATGTGTCTTTCTCCTCAGACCACCCTGGCAAGACAAAGGTTCTTTCAGAATGGCACTTAGTGACATTGTCCATGGGCAAGCAGAGGTACAAGCTGTATGTTACCAGAAAACATCATACTTGGAAAATACTTCATGCATATTGGTAGCCTACAGCTGTTCCCCCAAATGGAGAAGAAAGAGGGATCCACAGCGTCTCCTCCTGTTGACTGTAGAGCATTAAGGAAAGAGACTCAAATACAAAGCAGAGTCTCTTTCCCAGTGAGGGCGGCTGAATGGGGAGTTGCTATGGCACCAGCCTTGATTCTTGGATCAAGGCAAGGCACCTGCAATGCTGCAGCAACTTCATACAACTGCTGTCAGATTGGGACAATAAAATCCATAGAATGATAAAAACTACTTACCTGTACTACGTATCCAGATGTACATTTAAAGTTGGCAGGCTGAGGAGTTCCATTGATCAAAATGTCACCGGAAAGCCCATAGGGATCCTTTCTTGCAGCCAGAATGTCAAGTAGACTAGGAGAAAAGTTGGTTACTTCATCAGATGAGCGTGCAGGAGGTAAGCTCTCTGAACGACAAACCCAATTAATGGAACGAATAGCTACATAAAAGCATCCCATGTTAAACACTTGCTATTTAGAAACCCCCCCACAGCTTTCAAGGGCTGAGTTTCTTTTGTCCTGGTTTCCTAAGGAAATTAGATCTGTGCAATTTCATAGTGTATTTGTGTCCATTTGTTCAATTATATGAGCTTAACCTAGAAAGAAATGTGAAGGTTGTGTGTCAGGAACGTGTAGACTAAAATTGAATTACATCTTTGTCATGTAAGCTGTCTTTATTGAATTCAGATATTTCTCAGAAACCAGTGAGATTTGCACAGTCCTAAATGAAAACAAAATCTTTCCCTGAAAGTATTGTCCATTACTGCTAAATATGTGCATGTCCTGGGTTTGGCCAGGCTGAGTTCCAGTGGGGGGGGAGCGGGGCGGCAGGAACTCACTCGTGACTCGGGAGCGCGCGGCGGCGGTCCAGGAGAGAGCGGCTCTGTTCTGCAGGCGCTGTTCTGCTGGTTTGTTCTGTGTATTCCCCTTTTCTGCATCGTTGTTGTTCCTGTTCCCTTTGTTTGCTGTTCTGTTAAACTGCCCTTATCCCGACCCACCAGTTTCTGCCTGTTTCTTTCCATTCTCCTCCGCACCCCAGTGGGGGGAGGGGCAGCCGCGTGGCGCTTTTGTTGCCAGCCGCAGCCAAACCATAACAGTGCAGGGTCATTTTCTCCTTGGCGTAATTTCTGCGTAGGGCAAAGAGGGCACTTACGAAGATTTACCACTGCCAGTGGGTCCCAAAATTGCATTCAGTCCTGGTCTCATGATGCCACTGTAAGACAAAACAGATAGGTTTTACAAAATAGGTGGAATGTTTTTGTCTCTCACACTGTTTCATCTGGTAGGCTAATGTAAATTATGTGTAGAACTACCTTCTGCACCCATTAATTTTGGAATTAATGAAGCTGCCTGATCACAAAAAATATTTATGATCAGTCAAACTCCACCTTAATTTTTATTCCTAATTCAAGAAGAACTAATTTTCATATAATGAAGACAACACAGAAACTTGTGTAAAATGCAGCAAAACCTGTATGCATGCTTTTCCCCCATGGATCACACGTGTGCTTTAACCACATTCAGTTCTAAAGGTGTTATTCTCTTAGCAGAGAGAATAGTGGTTCCTGCAGATAGAACATACTAGAGATTTCTCTGTACTTACAGAAACTGCAGTTGATAGTTTCTCTGTATCTGACTTTAAGCCACACGAATATCAAAAGCCAGACAGAAAATGTTTTTAAATATTTGGGAAAAAGACCCCGAAGAAATGATACAGTATATGGAAATAGTGCTGCCTTTTTTAACCTTTTTGGTGGGGCACGTGAAGATGTTGCTGCTATTTTTCCTGACTAGCCCCTAATATCTGTGCTCAACAAGCTTTACTGTACATAAGACTCATGCTGCACATACACATTCTTCTCTATATATTATAATACCAGGTTTATCTTGAACTGCACTCTGGTACTGGTTGTTAACAGCAATCCAGGTATCAGCGATCTGAGTACTTGGCTGTGGGTCTGGCCCAGTACAGCTGTTCTAAGGGGCTAATGGCTTGCAGCCTAGGAGGCTTTGTTTTGTTCTTCCTGATCTGTATTTGTTTCCTTTAATTTCTTATTGTGGAAATTTATGATTCCACAGATTAAGAAACATATTATACATATGTTATGTTATATGTGATTTTAACAAAAAACCCCAATTTGTAACAAAACTACTGCAGATGTTGCATATTCTAAGAGGGAAAATCATAAGGTAGGTTAAATGTTCGTCTCTCACAATAAGCCCCAAGAGCGGCCTTCGGCTCATATTATTGCAAATGACCAGTGTCAGTCAATTTAGTTGCCATAACGTATGGCTCTTGAGGAGAGTAGGAAAGATTTTAAGAGCTCACGTTTAGGAGGTGTGGAAATTACATGGGCAAAGAGCAGGACAGACAGAGCTACACAAAAGGGTGAATATTTATGATAGAAATTGGACTTAGGGAGCTGAAAGTCATGGGTGACTTGGAATGGCATATTGTGTGAGTACTTGCCACTTAGTTTAACTACTGAACTGTGAATGGGCAAACTTTATGCATAGATTATTGAACAAAGGCCATAACAACGCGATTCCCTTACTGCAGTAGTTCTCAGTGTTGAAAAAAAGAACAAAAAACCAGAGAACTTTACATCTCTTCAGAGTTAATCTAACCCTCGTTTATATTGTTGTCTTAAACATTTTAAGTTAAAACACCCAAAATTAACCTTCCCAAAGACCACCTTAGGGAAGGAGATGCAAGTATCGAGGACAAGCTGTTGGTATCTCAGTTAAACATGAGGGCGTAGAGGGAGGCTTGCCAGGCAGTGTGAAATGACCACAGCCGTCTTGTGTGCTCCTGTCCTGATAGTGCCAGGAAGGCCGTCCCTCCCAGAGGCCGGGGGAACGGTGCCCAGCAGCCTCAGCTCTCTGTCATACAGGCTCAGCTCTAACGGCTGAGGACCACTGGGGCCTAGCAGGAAGCTTAAGCACAGTTGATGATAGTAAACTTTAAGCAACCACACATACATACAATTTTTCTAAATCTTGAGCAAATTCTGTATATTGTGCTCAGTGGCTCAGTGACAGGAGTGGACTCAACTGTCAGGACAGAAATAAAACATACACATACTCTAAAAAGACGTTTAAATACTTACTTGACATCTCTCAAAACTTCTTTATCGGCTGTTTTTTGACAGCGCAGGAACCCATTCTTCATCTTCACACGGTAGCAGATGTTGTGGAAAGTTAGTATGCTTGCTCGCCTGCCGGCTAAGTTTGGAGAGGACTGCTTTCTGCTGGGGATGCCACTTGTATTCGAGTCTGACATCTGAATTCTTAGGTGCGGCTGGCCTTCTGCCATTTTTGCTCTGTAAATGAAAAAACACGAAGGGGGAAGATTTGATTAGGTATGGAGAGGAAAGATGTGTCTGTTGGGTCCCGTGTTTGGCACTGGACCTACTGTGGGCCTTGCAGATGTCCATCTGTGTCTCTTTCTTTCAGATAGGAAGTTTGGGTCCTGTGGGCTCAGACCTTGAGATGACACAGAGCTGACAGGGAGCTGAATCTGCCATATTGCTTCACACCACATGCGGTGTTAGGGAGATAGAAGAGTCTCCCTCCACCCTGATGGTCTGTTGTTGTAGGTTGTGCTTGGCTGCCCACCAGATGCCCACCCAGCTGCCCTCCCTGGTGAATCTCTGCTCCAGTGCCTGGAGCACCTCCTCCCCTGGCCTTGGTGTCTGCCGGGCTGTTTCTCCCACTTTTTCACACTCCTCTCTCATGGTTGCTGTACAGTGTTTTTTATCGTTTCTTAAATAGGCTTTCGGAGAGGTGCCACCAGCATAGCTAACACACTTGGCTTTGGCCATCAGCGGGTCTACTGGCAGTGGCTGGAGGCAGCTGTGTCTGGCATGGGGCAACCCTGGCTGCTTTCTCACAGAGCCCCCCCAGCAATCCCCCTGCGCTAGCACGGGGCCATGGGCACCAACCGCATCTGTTCTCCTGGTACGAGGAAGCAGGCACTTCTCACAGCGGGCATGAGTGTGACACTATGCTCTTTCCGGAGTGCTGCCCCTGGCAGAGAGGTCTGTACAGAAACTGCATGCTTGTTGGAAATCACAGGTACAACAGGTGACTCACAAGAAGATTAGCTCAAAATTGTTGAGGTCCAAAAGGACCTAGGCTTCTGCCCATCTACTCTGTCAGGCTTCACTCCTCCTACTTCTAGCACTCCTGCGCAATGGTAATAAAATCTAAAAATTGTTGGGTTATTTTTTTAATCAAAATAATTTTGCCAAGGGTGTAGGAACATGGAAACTGACACTGCTGCCAAGTAATTATCTTCCTTGGATTTGCTTTCCATGTAGAACCTAGAAGGTAGTTGTGGAATAATTAAAATTGTCTCACCTCCCTTTGTCAGCCAGGCTCCTGCCTGTGAGCCATCTACCTGCACTGTGGAGTCGTGCCCACCTGTCCCTTGTGCATGCAGACTTTTGTCCCCTTTATGCTTCCTAAGTGACACAGAGTCATTTAGGTGGGAGGGAGGATCTGGCCTCTCTTTATACACCGTTCTGACTCACTGGAATTTGATTGCTTTAATTGTCACTAGGGAAAATGTTAGTAATGCAGTAGTTCATGGGAACCGAGAGGGGAGATGAGCAACTAGGAGGTCTGCGATGGTCAGTTGCACAGTTATACTGCTTGCAGCAAGGAAGAATGTAAATTATGAGACCATTTCAGACACCCTGAGTGCATTTGAGAGCAGCTGATAAAATGAGCCTCGCAAAAGAAGCCGTTTAATCTAACGAACGCAGTGATACGGTCACATAAAACCAAGCCCTTATCTCATTGGTTTGATAAGGTTGTGTGACAGACAGCTGAACTCTCCTTTGTGACTATCGGCACAGTGAAATTGCTGGAAGCCTACCTGCACGTAAAGGCTAGTTCATCTGTCTCCCAATGATGCTATCCCAAACCTAGCCCAAGGTTGCCTCCTCTGACAAAATTGCATTCTTCTGTGCTGGCAAAAGTGTAAGGGCTTAATATTTTAGTCATCAGTAATCTTGGCCCAGTTTTCCTATGATGAAAATAAACTGTGTTCCAAATACAACTATCATGGGACGGGCTTTAATTTAAGCTAAAATGGTTTTTGAGTAAGTTGAACATCAATTAAATGTAATATTTAAAGTCTGGAGGCCTCTTATTGATAAACTGCCTACACTCGTGCTGGAGAAGACTTATCTACCTGCAGGAGGGCAACTAATTTTAGAAGACTATTTATATAATGCGTGAGATTATATGAGAGTATATATAATATATGGTCTTTAGAAAAACTTTTCATTTAGGAATGAAGCTGATTCAGACTGAACTTGACTGGCAGACAATAAGCACAGGATCAGAAACTATTTTCATAAATACAGGTTCACACTACTTTCACAGAGTCGTTCTTAAGACCAGACTGTACGTTGAAATTAAATGTACTTTACAAATTGAATTATGGTTACATTGTACACATATTTGCAAAGAACATTGCAGAAGCTAGATAAATAAATCAGCTACAAGAAGGATTAGGCATATCCACTGCAGACAGTCCCTCAATGGCTATTTAATACAGCTGTCGGCAGGAAACCTCCAGTTCAGGAAGCCCTGAGTCCACTGATTGCCCAAATCTGCCAGAGAAAAATAGTATTCTTTGATACTGTCCCTTGTAAAGGCATTGATTACTGGCAGCTATGAGTAGAGGCTAGATTCAGGTCTAGCTGGACATCTGGTGTAAATCGGCACGGCCCTTCATGGCTGCAGTGCGCTTGTGCTCGTTGCAGTGACAGGGTGGGATGCTGTAGGTGGAAGACTCGGATTTGTCTGTGTGCTGTTCCTCCTCACAGCTGCCCATTCAGGGAAAGGTGTATTTGTGGGCATATGGCAGTTATCAAAGTGAAAAAATCTATTATTTTACATGTTAGGTTAATACCGAAAGTAGCATTTTATACTTTCAGAGGTACTAGAATTTATTGCAGAAAGAAATTGCAGAATATTACTTCGCTTAAAACTTGAATGGTTATTTGTCAGATGCTCTATGAAATCTGTATTAGCCGTCTCTTCGCAAAGGAGCATAACCGTTGCAAGGACTCCCTCACAACAGTTTCTTGGGATGACAAAATGACAGAGCTCTGGACATGCTGGTGGGAAGGGGCTTTGGGAAGTCCCATCAGCCAGCTTCTCCCTCCAAGCGGAACTGTCATCAACATGAGATCGGGGCAGCTGAGACTTTTCCTGGGTGACTTGTGTAAACCACCAAGAGTGGCCATCTGGATCTCGCCTAATAGTGTGCTGAGAGAAGATGAAGTGCTAACAGCGGAAAGAACGCCTGAGTGCTAGAGACAGGCTTTTGATTTGCTTTTCTTTTTTTGGAAATCTTTTTTTCACTGTGGGGTAAGTGCTGATAGTGAGATAAACAGTTTGGTATTTTACAAACCAACATTTCCATTTCTGATCTAGCAATAAGCTTCACCATATGATTACAGGGAGATGATCCTTTACAGCTAATGTAATTGTCAGCAGTTTGAAATTGCTCCTTAGGAATGGATTTTTTAAAAATATTTCTTTAGGCCTTGTTTAAAAAATTATTTAGTGTATTTAATGCGACATACAGCCATGAAACATTTTTAGTCAGAGTACACGCAGGACAAAGAAACAACGATTGCAGATGTTAATCAAATCAATTTCTGTGCAAACTAAAGTTCTTCAAATGAAGTTTCCTAGAATTCATTGCCAATGGCTTACAAATGTCTACTTTAGATCAGAAATGAGCAGGAGATTCAATGACAATATGTACTGCCTGCTGTATTCAGAAATATTTGTTAATATGATAAAGTGTTTCATATCCTCATCATATCAGCTCTGGGTATAATACATTATTTTTGCATCAGCTAAGTATAAAAACTATGAACTCTTTGGGAATTTTAAAAATGTCATTTGTTTCCTGAATCTTTCTAAAATATTTTTATTGCCACTGATTTCTGCATCAAATTCAGTTCAAGCCTACTAGAAAAACCTTTTCTTCAGAGATACTGAGTCTCAGAAAATTTTGTCAGGAGGCAAAGTACTGGTTCTTGATGTTTAACCTTTTATTAATGGCAGAATGAAACTACTTTTTAAAAAACTATCATGAAATCTTTTTCCCTCTGTTTTGATGCACAGAAAATGAAACTCTCAGTACAGTCACTTTCCTGTGTATTCTTCTGAGACTTGTAAAGTGCTAAGTCTCATTTTCTCCACATAGACAAGGGTACTAAACAAAAACATCAAACAACAACAAAAGGAACCACAGCAATACCATACCCGGGGTGTTTCAAACTATTTCAGCAAACCTATTTGTATGCGTTAAGACAGACTGTCTATATAAAAAGCTAAGTAATATTCCATTCCTGCCAGTCTTCCTACAAAGCTTTTAGCACTGGACGGATTTTCAGTTCCAATAGAAAAAACAGTACTACGGCTCATAGTAAAATTTTGAATGGCAAAATTCAGAAATGCATTTTAGTCAATTTTTTAAAATCCAGGCAGTTATTCAATGTATTTTATCTTTATAGAGAATAAGCTTTGAAATTACTGAAGGAGGAAGAGTTTTAGAGACACAAGCAGCTTTCAGCAGAGTTTTCTAAAGGAAGCTGGCTCAAAGCCTTTAAAAAATAGCCTTTTTTATTTTTTCTTTAGACTTGAACCTGCCAGAGAGACCACAATGAAGTGAGATATTATTTCTCTTATTTTTAATGAGTACAAAGTTTAGCCTTGCAACCTGCAAGCTAAAACAGTACAGTATGTACTAAAAATGTGCATTTTAGACTTCGGATACATGTAAATTCACAGAAGTTGTAAGTATACCTTTTTTCTCCTCTTCAGCTGCATGCATTTGCAGGGGTGTAGACTGGCCAGAGAATGGATGTGGGTGTGCAAAAAGGGCCATACAGCCTAGTACTGCCAGCCCGGTACCATACAGTCCTCTTTCTCAGGAAGATGCATAGGAAATTAAAACCATTTGAGTAAACAAGGGTAATGTGATTCAGGCAATCTGTAAGTTAATTGCCAGCTGATTTACTAGGGATTTGTAACCTACGTTCTGTGAAAAGAGCCCTGTGTTGTACTTGGGGACTGAGTGAACAGCGGTCTGCATGTGCAGGCATTTGCACGCATGTTATCTGCAGTGCACTGACATGGATGGGCAAACTCTGAGTATGGTAGTTCCTGCAAAATATTCTAACTTTTCACCTTTTCATTGGTTTTACTTTAAGCCTTGAAGCTTTCAGCCCCCATTATAAAACACATTTTCATGAATTTCATGCCAAATTTCTCAATAAAATC